GGGGAACCTGCTAAAGTACCAAGTCCTTCTCTTTGCCTGAGCCTGTGGAATTGCACATTGGCATTTCTCCTGGCAGAGCGGATGCTGGGGTATTTGCTCTGTCTTCCCAGAACAATGTGCCCTTCATTACCGTAAGGACACGGCGGCACCTGCAAGCTGTGTTTGTAGGCTCCTCCTGCTTCCTCGTCTCACTGGCATGCCTGCTGCTTCTGCCAAGGCTGAATGAGTGGGTGCAAACCCTGGGGGACCTGGGAGCAAAGTGGTATCAGCCCCTACAGGGCAGCCCCCACCCACTTCCCTCTGCTCCTGAGCACCTTGGGGTGCTTTGCACCCCAGCTCCCTCCATGATCAGCCCAGAGGAATGAAAGGATGTGCTCAGCCCCTGTCTCTGCACATTCTGGTCTGTGGTTTAGCTGTAAATGATGGCAGAACTGCCTCCAAATGTAAATGCTTTCTATTGTCCTAATACTCTGCAATTACCACACTTTGAGGATATCAGAGCTGGACTTGCCCTGACAGATTTCAGGCTGCTGCTGTTGCTGTATGGATTAGGCAGGCAAAGCCGTGGTGTGCTTTGCTGGAGGAGGCCAGGGCCTCTCCATTTTTTCCAGCCTTAGCCCTGAAAATAAGGATATCTGAACTACAGCCAGCATAGGAAATATGCTGAACCCCTCCCACAGCTTAGCAACATGTGGAAATAAATCCACTAGGTACTCTGAGTCCTTGCACACACACGCACACACTGTGAGTGTCTTTGTGCCTAAAGGGTTTCTTGCAACTCCTGTGGGCTGGTGTGTGCTGTTGGATAAGCAGAACTTCAGCAGTGAAGGCACTCCGATTCCAAGCAAAGAACATAGGCAGGGTACCAATGGCTGCCATTCCCGCTGCTCCTGGTTACAAGAGAGCCTCTCTGAGGGGGCTGTGCACAGACCGAGGGAAGAAAAGTGCTCCCACAAATCTGTACCCAGCTCTGAGACCTAAACATTGAGGCTGGGCCATATGCAATTTGCTGCCTTCCTGTTTCCAGCATTTAGCCAAATCCTACTTTTTTTGCCCCCCCCCCCCCCCTTTTTTTTTTTTTTTTTGGTCAGTAGTCTCTTCCCTAGCTGAAACAAAAACAGGGACCTCAGTGCCCGGGAGAGAGGCAGGGTCCCTCCCCAGGGTCCGAGGGGGAGGCAAAAGCCCACAAGGCTTCCAGTTTCTTTGGTATTTTATCAGATAATTTTTGTAGCAAAGAAGGAAGGAGTCAGTGACCCCAAAGAAGGTAGAAACCTCTCATTTAGGCACTGTGGATCCAGTTTGGCCCACAGAGGATGCTCACATGGGTGAGGCAGAGGCACCGGGCTCAGATCCTGGCTTGGTACTCCGTGCGCTCACATAGGTGTGGGAGACACAAAGAAGCCCCCAGCACCCCAGGAGCCCTAATGCCTGGGGGGTGAGCCGTGACTGCTTGTGAGCCTCTGCTGCCTGAGGAATACCCTGCACTGAAGTCTCTACTTCCCAAGCTGAGGCCTCTGAAGCCAGCTATGCCTGGGGCCCGCATGCCCTGCTCGCTGTCTGAAAGCAGCCATGGGAGATTTGCAAAAGGTGATGTGAGGGCAGGAATAAAGCACCGTCAGCAGGCTCCCAGTGCTGAAATGCGAATGGCAAGGTTGGGAGGTGTGTGTGCATATGTGTTGGACAGAGGGGAGGAGGGAGGGAAGAGTTGCAGAGGGGAGATTTCACTGCAGCTCCAGTTCCTGCAAATCCCCTCCCTGCCCCTCCAGAGGAAATGACTCAGGGCTTTTTCGAGAAACTGCAAGCTGACAACTTTGCCGCCTGCCCTGCTGCTTTTCTGGTGGGCTGCAATGTGGAGGCAGTCCTTTCCAGTGGGGAACGTGCCAGATCAGAGTAGTGCAGATAGCTGGCTGGAGCCCCTGGTGATGGGAAACACCCTCAGAGACAGGGTGCACTGAGCACAGTTCCTCCTGAGTAGTGGCAATGGGCAGAAAATTGTCAAGA